GTTTAGGGTTTAGGGTTTAGGGTTTAGGGTTTAGGGTTTAGGGTTTAGGGTTTAGGGTTTAGGGTTTAGGGTTTAGGGTTTAGGGTTTAGGGTTTAGGGTTAGCGTCGGTGGCATGGTCATGCGGTACATTCGCGCAAACGCGCGACCACGCGCGAAGACGAGCGAAGACTGAGCGAAGGCGAGCGAAGGCGAGCGAAGACGTTCGAAGACGAGCGAAGACGGGCGAACACGAGCGAAGATGAGCGAAGACAAGCGACGCTGAGCGAAGACTTGACTTCAATGGGCGTCTCTCGATTTCCGGTCTTCGCTCGGGGGGTGCGGGGGGGGGGAGAAGGGCATCAGGATTAAGGCCCACTTGGAGTAGCCGATCTTCACAAACGAGGGAAGCTGCCTTAGCTATTTCACCTACAGGGTGGGGCCCCCTAGTTATAAGTAGAGTTATAAGGGCCCTAAATTGTGTTATAAGGACCCTAAGTTAGGTTATAAGTCCCTTAACTACAGTTAGTATAGTAAGGGGGCCCCACCCTGTAACCCTTGAACCCTAGGCCCTGCACCCTGAACCCTTTTCATGGGTCTGGGGAGTGAGATGTTGGGGTTCAGCAGGCTAGATAGAGGAGGGTGCTGCGGCGAAGGTGCACTATGCCTGCTACACACGGCTGAGAGACCATGGCCCCCATTCAGGGTCCTAAATAAGTATCCTCCGGGTGATCTTTTTTTGCAGCTACGACCCATTCGAGTTCAACAGATCAACCCTAAACCCCTATTGTTCAACAGGCCGCTGCAAGGTTTAAGGGAACCTCCTGGCATGTCTGCGTGATGAAGTTCACGGTGATTGAACCCCGTCGTTGGTCCAGGGGTGGCAGGGCTACATGTTCGGGGCTATGATGGCGTACTGGGGGTACGGGCACCCGGCCAGAAGAGAGCTTCGAGTGATCATGACAACGAAGGCTCGCCGGGAAGCACTCGCAGACCAGACCTGGGTCACCAACTTTCTGGCATTCGTTGGCGCGTCTTGCGCAACAGCTCCATTGCATCAGGAGCGATGGACCTGAGGCGGCAAAACCAAGCGCTCCGGGGGGTTCGGGATATGAAGCAGGGTTTATATCTCTTGTACCCCCAAAAGGACACCAGGTATATACACTCACCAATATCAAAAAGGAACCTTATATACACTCACCAAAAATAGTAATATACACCCTGCTTCATATCGGTCCGTTGGCCACATGAGCGCCGCGGACAAAGCTTCAAACTGGCACATCGCCAACGCTTCGAGGACGAGGAGTGCCCGCAATCTGGCCCTGTCCCTCGCCCGTGCCAAGTCGGCGACATGTGTGGGTAGTTCTCTTAATTAAGGTCCCTTTTTGGGATCCCTTTTTGAAGGGTGCCCGCCTTATCATGGGTACCCAAAAAGGAACCCGAATTTAGGAAACTTCCCATATACCCTCATGTATATGACGGATCATGATTCTGAATCAGGGTAAACCCTAAACCCTAAACCCCTAAACCCTAAACCCTAAACTTGTGAATTAGGGTATAATTCCTAAGTTTAGGGGTTGAGGAAGATCTGCGTATGTGAAGTCTACACGCGACCCTCGACCTGACGAAGGCCAAGGTTGCGATGTCCTACCCTATCGCGGGCCCTAAACCCTAAACCCTAAACCCTCAACCCTAAACCCTAAACCCTAAACCCTAAACCCTAAACCCTCAGCCCGAACCGCTACACACCCACCCGAGGTTCCGGACATTCCCATCGCCAAGCATGTCAGCGGAGGAGGCTTGGCAGGGGCTAGAGATTGGTGTATTAGGGACTTCGGGTTTAGGGGCTTAGGGTTTGGGGGTTTGGGTTCTTAGGGTTTTGGGTTTTAGGGTTTAGGGTTTAGGGTTTAGGGTTTAGGGTTTAGGGCTAGGGGTGCCCAGTGGCACCCTTTTACCTGTTTATTTGGGTTCTATAGGTTCCCTGACCCACCCCCCCCAAGAAGGCATATGGTTCCTGGGCTACCAAGCTTAGGTCTCAGGGTTTAGGGTTTAGGGTTTAGGGTTTGGGGTTTAGGGTTCAGGGTTTTTAGGTGTTTACGAGCTTGTCAGGCTTTAAGACTTTCAGCTAGGGTTCAGGGTTTCGTTTTGGGTTTACTGTCTTGAGTTTAGGGTTTAGGGTCTAGGGTTCAGGGTTTTTTTTGGGTTTAGGGTTCACAGTTTAGGGTTTAGGGTTCAGGGTTTCTTTTTGGGTTTACTGTCCTGAGTTTAGGGTTTAGGATTCAGAGCGCGGGGTTCACCGAAGAACCCTCAGAGCCTAGGGCTGTAGCGTCAGAATTGGCTTCCAGGTGCGCACTCGGCGATTCTGGCACAAAAGGGGAAGCTTCTTATGCATCTCGGAAGCACTTGCCCTACACCCTAAACCCTAAAACCTTAAACCCGAAACCCGAAACCCTAAACCCTAAACCCACCCTAAACCCTAAACCCTAAACGCGGCTTCTGGGCTTGTAGGGCTTTAGGGCTTTTTGGTTTCGGGGCGTAGGGTCTAGGATTCAGCGTGAACGCTACAGAGCCCGAAGCCCCCCCAAGACAAAAAGAAGAAGCCCTAAGCAGCCAAGCCGGTGCCCACGGCCGACAGGTAGGGTTTAGGGTTTGGGGTTTGGGGTTTAGGGTTTAGGGTTTGGGGTTTTGGGTTTGGGGTTTGGGGTTTAGGGCTAGGGTTTAGGACTAGGGTTGGATTCAGGCGCGGGAGACGTTGAAGGCGAGATTGGTGGGCCTTCACACGGGCGAGCCAGGGCGTCCTGAGTGTCAGATTGGTGCTTGGAGGTTCATGGTACTTCTGAACCAATTATAACTGTACTAATAACCCGCTTCTAAGTCCCTTAAGAGCCCTTATTCAGGGCTCTTAAGGGGCTTAGAAGCGGGTTTATCCGTACAGTTTTTTAATTGGTTAATAAGTGCCATGAACCTCCAAGTACAGCTAGCCACGTCCCGGGTGGTGCGGTAGTCGCGCAGCAGCTCATCGAAGAGGGCCCAGCATTGATCGAAGTCGAGCCAGGGCACGCGCAGCTGAATGTGCCCCGAGAATTCGGGTTTTGGGTTCAGAGTTCAGGGTTCAGGGTTCAGGGTTCAGGGTTTAGGGTTTAGGGTTTAGGGTTTAGGGTTTAGGGCTTAGCTCCGGGGAAAAATATGGAGCTCGCTGGTGGCGAAGGAGGAGGATCAAGGGATCAAGGCTCGTGCCCCTAAGGCTGCACCCCCTAAAGGTTCCAAGTAGGATCCCTTTAGGGTTTTAGGGTTTAGGGTTTAGGGTTTAGGGTTAGGGATTAAGACTCGTACCCCTAAGGTTGTACCCCTGCGGGTTCCCCCTTGTTCCTGGGTGTAAGGACTAGAGGACGTGGTTTGTTGATTTTTGCTGGTAACTTGTGCCCCTTAATATACTCCGAATATGCAACCTTAAGGATCTTTTAAAAGGGTCCCCCAAGACTCAAGCTAGGATGCCCAGTAGTGCCCTCATTCCCTTTTTTGGGGGGTTGGGTTCCCTTGTACCCCTTTAAGCAAAAAGGGTACCTTTTTTAATCCTGGGTTACTGAGCATCCTAGCAAGGGCACCGCCTTAAGGATCCGAGGTACAAGCTCTAGAGAGGAGGGGTTGTCGTTTGAGCAGCCAACCTAGAAGTGCCTTGCAGCTCCAAAGAAGCTTTGCAACAAAGGTAGGGTTTAGGGTTTAGGGTTTAGGGTTTAGGGTTTAGGGTTTAGGGTTTAGGGTTTAGGGTTTAGGGTTTAGGGTTTAGGGTTTAGGGTTTAGGGTTTAGGGTTTAGGGTTTAGGGTTTAGGGTTTAGGGTTTAGGGTTTAGGGCTTTGCGCGGTCTAGGGTTTATTGTGTAAGGTTCTTAAAGCAGGGAGGTTCAAAGTAAGGGTAATCAACCCAAGGTTCCCAACCACTCCCCAACTACTCCCTGAGGCTCCCTAAGCTTCCCGAAGGGTTTTCTACGTACCTACCCCCCCCATGAACCCCCTTCCTTAAGAACTCGATAAGTCTGGGGGAGACGCGTGCAGCGCCTTTGCACTAGCCCCAAAAGGGTTCCTCTTTGTTTGGTAGGATGTTTGGTAGGAATCTTTTGTTTCGCCTAATTGGGGTCCCCTGGTTCTTGGAGAGAAGTAAGAAGAGAGAGCCAGATAGAGCTGATCCGAGTACATGGAATCCTGAGGCACTTAGGCACGGAGCCCTAAACCCCCAAACCCTCTTGCGACCCTACGCCCCCAAACCCTCAACACCAAACCCCAAACCCTAAACCCTAAACCCAAAACCCTTAGCAGAGACTTTTGCCTGGAGGTGCGGCAGCAATCGCCAAGGCCAGCTTGGCTTGCCAAGGACCGATCTCGTTTTGTTGGTCTTGTTTTTGTTGGGGCAGGCCGGGGGGGGGGGGGGGGTGCGGGGTATAGGTTTGACATTACGACCCAGGGTTTGGGGTTCAGGGTTCCGGGTTTAGGGTTGAGGGTTGAGGGTTAGGAGTTTAGGGCACTTGCGAGGGCCTAATGCTTCGGGTTTAGCGTGTGAAGTTTTGGGTGTGGGGGGGGGGGGGGGGGGTTCGGGAATGGTAGTCTGGGAGCTTTTGAGGCTAAGACAAATCTGTTCGGAGGGTTTGGGGTTGAGGGTTTAGTTCTTTCGGGGGGTAGGGCTTTTAGGGTTTATGGTTCCGGGTTTCGCGTTCAGGGTCAACCTCGAAACCCGTGGCCTGAAGAAAGCATCTGACGACGGTCGCTGCTCGCAGAGTTGGGTTTAGGCTTGAGGCTTTAGGGTTCAGGCTTCAGCTACGAATTGTTTTTTTTTGTTTTTTTTTTTTGCGGCGGGGGGGGGGGGGGGGGGGGGAGTTCTGAAGCAAATAATAGTTTAGGCGTTAGGCTCATGGCTGTTGGGCGATCAGGGCGGGTCTGCAAGCATGTTTTTTGGCTCAAAAGGGGTTGCCCAGCCTTAAAGCCCGGTGTCTCGTCTCCTCTCGTGGCGTGGTGAGGCAATCGACCTCGCCATGGGTGGAGTGTACCGTCAGGACTTTGCACACACGAGGTTGCAAGGCGGCTTCTTCAATATGCCACAGGACACGACTTCGAAAAGCCCTTGATTGAGAAATTCACCCCTAATTTAGACTAGGGATCATTATTAGGATACAAGGGACTTCGAAAAGCCATTAATTAAGGAATTTACCCTACTTTATACTAGGGAAAATAAATTTGAATTAGGGTATATACCTTAATTAAGGGGCCTTGGACGATGCAGACTCCTACCCCTAAGGTTCTACCCCTGAAGGTTCCCCTTCATATACTCCCAGTATGACCCTTTGATTCCCTTAGGAATAAAGTTGCAACCTTAAGGGTCCCAGGTAGAACCCCCGTAAACCCTAAACCCTAGACCCTAAACCCCAAACCCTAAACCCTAAACCCTAAACCCCCCTGAAAGGACCGCGCAGACCCGGAGCTCCGTCGCCAGAAGGCGTTGATGATTGCCGCCCTCGGCCTGGAGCCCCCTGCCTTCCATCACTTCAAGCGCCTCGCGCGCCAAGGGGAGGTCCACCAAAGCCGCCGCTTAAGGGCACACTTGGGGGGAATGTTTTTTTTTTTTTCTTTCACTTTTTGGGGGGTACATACATTTTCGATTGAACGGCTGAGAACCCTAAACCCTAAACCCTAAACCCTAAACCCTAAACCCTAAACCCTAAACCCTAAACCCTAAACCCTAAACCCTAAACCCTAAACATTTTTTGCTAGGGGGTTGCCAGTTTCAGCCTAGGCAGTGGAGGACCGAGTGGTCCAGAGGCCTTGACTCCATTGGGGGGATCTTCTGGAAGCCGAGAGACGAGCAGCAGTGCCTTGGCTTTGTGGGTTTAGGGTTTAGGGTTTAGGGTTGAGGGTTTAGGGTTTAGGGTTTAGGGTTTAGGGTTTAGGGTTTAGTAGGCTTTGTGGGTTTTTCCCTAGGGCTCCAAGTTTACAAATAGTATCTACATTGGGGTCTAAAGTCTGTAAATAGTACCTACTTTGGGCCATTTGGAGCCTTAGGGTTTTTGTAGAAACTACAATAACTAGGACCGGGAGTAGGCCCTTTTTTTCATTTTTTTTAGGGCTGGGGTTCCCTTATACTTCCCTTAAAACCCAAAAAAGGGCACGCTTTCTATTCCTAGGCTACTGCCGGGTCTAGAGAAGGAGCCTGAAAGTGAAACGTCTTGGAGGGGTTCAGAAGTCAGCCAAGGTGCTTCAAAGTCTTCCGATGGCGCCAGATCGAACGCAAAATGACAAAACAACGCCCCACCCCACCTCTGCAGCGAGCGGACAGGTAAGATGAAGCAAGTTGTTAAAGGGAGTATAAAAGGAGGGACCCCTAGAAGGGACCCTTATATAACCCCTAGATATACGTACCTTTCATAGTCCCTATATACCTTTAGGTAGCCCCCTGAATAGGCCCGAAGGTCCTGAGGGTCCCTCCTTTAGTTCCCTGAAGTTGTAAACCGTGGTGCAGCACAAGGCTTTGCAAAAACCCAGTTCCCCAACTTCTGGTACATCGGACCTGCCCTTCCCACCGCTCGAGCAGTGTAAGTCCATGCGGGAGTTTACGAACATTCGGGACCCCTAGAATCGTCCCCCAGATAGTAGGATTCCCTTTGTAATCAGGGCCCCAATAAGGTACCCCGAATATCGTAAGTCCATGTGAATCTTAGAGCGGGCAGAAATCTTCTGCGCGGGTCTGGTGACCAGGGCACAACCTGGCGACCAAATGAACCCTAAAATCTTAAACCCTAAACCCTTAACCCTTAACCCTGAACCCTACACCCTTAACCCTAGACTACTTTTATCCCTGACAAGGTATATGAACCACAACCACTTTTAGGGCTCATCTGGTCCGAAAGGATATTCCAGAAGGAGGCCAGCCGTGGTGACCGACCCTAAACCCCAAACCCCAAACCCCAAACCCCAAACCCTAAACCCTAAACCCTAAACCCTAAACCCTAAACACCTGGACTGCCTGGCCTCACCTGTACAGTGCATCTGGGTCGGTACAGACCCCCGGTTCCCGGCTGCAACGCCGCTCGCGTATTTGGGATCCACTTTTTCTGGTTTAGGGTTTAGGGTTTAGGGTTCAGGGTTTAGGGTTTAGGGTTTAGGGTTTAGGGTTTTGGGGATGTTTTTTTACTGTTTTGCGTATTTTGCGTTGGGCCATGATGCGCCCCACATCAGCCGGATGGAGCCGGCAAGGCTTGCTTGCCTTGTGTAGTATTCTTTCAGCCGTTCCCTTTACTTGCCTCCCTTGATGGAGGCAGTGTAAAGATTATGTTGTTTTTTGCTGCCTTGCGTTGGGCCGTGATCGGCCGCGAGCAAATTAGCATCATTAGCCAGATGAGCTGCGTTCTTTTAGGCGTTGGTTAAAGGTTAATTTACTGAAGAGGTAAGCAAGATTGCGCAGAAGGTCGCGGCGGGTTCCGTGGAAGGCGTGGCGCTCGCGGAAGGCTTGCGGAAGGTTTTTCAGTAAACACACTTGAAAACTACATACTACAGAAGTTGCATCATAATTAGCGCCGTTAATTTGCATAGGGTATATAAAGGATATATATATATAAGGGGTAACCTTTAAAGGGCCCATACTAAGAGACCATGCAACTACCCTTAGAGCTCCCTCAAGCCGTTTCAGAGCGCGGAACTCCGCGGAAGGGTAAATCCCTGAAAGGGTATAGGGCCCAAATTCTCTCATTATTCCCTACTAAGAACCAGCCAAACAGCCAAAAGGGTTTAGGGTTTAGGGTTTAGGGTTTGGGGTTTAGGGTAAACCCTCGTTAAACCCTGGCCTATAAACCCTCAACGCTCAAGAACCCTTCTCACCCTTGATCCCTACACCCCCAGAGACCTAACCCTCAAGCCCCTAAACCCTAAACCCTAAACCCTAAACCCTAAACCCTAAACCCTAAACCCTAAACCCTAAACCCTAAACCCTAAACCCTAAACCCTAAACCCTAGAAACCCTGAAAAGAACACAGCTTAGATGGAAGCGGCGAGGCGCTGCCTCCCTTGTGTAGTAGTCAGCCAGGCCCAAAGAGCCCAACATCCCTCAGTTAAGGAGTATTCCTTGAAACCCTAAACCCTAAACCCTAAACCCTAAATCCTAAACCCTAAACCCTAAACCCTAAACCCTAAACCCTAAACCCTAAACCCTAAACCCTAAACCCTAAACCCTAAACCCTAAACCCTAAACCCTAAACCCTAAACCCTAAACCCTAAACCCTAAACCCTAAACCCAAGCGATCCCTTTATGATTTTAAGGTATATTCCTCAATTAAGGAGTATTGGGCTCTCTGGGTGTCCTTTGCCTGTCTCCACTTGATGGAGGCATGGGAAGGATTATGTTGTTTTTTGCTGCTTCGCATAGGGCCGTGATGGGGCCCAGGAGCACATTAAAACCCTAAACCCTAAACCCTAAACCCTAAACCCTAAACCCTCAGATGGAGACGGCAAGGTTTGCTTGCTTGCCTTGTGTACTCTTTCAGTCGTTCCGCAGGAGGCGTTTTAAGACAGCCGCCGGTGTACTTTGCACATCCGTCCGGCTGCAATGGCTAGGCCCGAAACTTCTAGTTGCTTAAGAATCCCCCAAAAATCAATATACTCTTCCTTCTAAAGGGTAACATAGGGATCCTTTTTTGTAACAGTTTTGGGGGGCTCTTAAGCAAATAGTAAGAAATACCCACAGCATTCCGGGGCACATCTCACATACGAATCTCTCTGTGAGCCCCGATAGGGTATATAAAGGATATATAAGGGGTAACCTTTAAAGGGCCCATACTAAGAGACCATGCAACTACCCTTAGAGCTCCCTCATCGCGGAACTCCCCGGAAGGGTAAATCCCTGAAAGGGTATAGGGCCCAAATTCTCTCATTATTCCCTACTAAGAACCAGCCACACAGCCAAAAGGGTTTAGGGTTTAGGGTTTAGGGTTTAGGGTTTAGGGTTTAGGGTTATTTTTTAGGGTTTAGGGTTTAGGGTTTAGGGTTTAAGGTAAACCCTCGTTAAACCCTGGCCTATAAACCCTCAACGCTCAAGAACCCTTCTCACCTTGATCCCTACACCCCCAGAGACCTAACCCTCAAGCCCCTAAACCCTAAACCCGACAACCCGAAACCCTAAACCCTAAACCCTAAACCCTAAACCCTAAACCCTAAACCCTAAACCCTAAACCCCAAACCCTAAACCCTAGAAACCCTGAAAAGAACACAGCTTAGATGGAAGCGGCGAGGCGCTGCCTCCCTTGTGTAGTAGTCTTTCAGCCAGGCCCAAAGAGCCCAACATCCCTCAGTTAAGGAGTATTCCTTGAAACCCTAAACCCTAAACCCTAAACCCTAAACCCTAAACCCTAAACCCTAAACCCTAAACCCTAAACCCTAAACCCTAAACCCTAAACCCTAAACCCTAAACCCTAAACCCTAAACCCTAACCCTAAACCCTAAACCCAAGCGATCCCTTTATGATTTTAAGGTATATTCCTCAATTAAGGAGTATTGGGCTCTCTGGGTGTCCTTTGCCTGTCTCCACTTGATGGAGGCATGGGAAGGATTATGTTGTTTTTTGCTGCTTCGCATAGGGCCGTGATGGGGCCCAGGAGCACATTAAAACCCTAAACCCTAAACCCTAAACCCTAAACCCTAAACCCTCAGATGGAGACGGCAAGGTTTGCTTGCTTGCCTTGTGTACTCTTTCACTCGTTCCGCAGGAGGCGTTTTAAGACAGCCGGCGGTGTTCTTTGCACATCCGTCCGGCTGCAATGGCTAGGCGGCTAGGCCCGAAACTTCTAGTTGCTTAAGAATCCCCCAAAAAATCAATATACTCTTCCTTCTAAAGGGTAACATAGGGATTCTTTTTTGTAGCAGTTTTGGGGGGGCTCTTAAGCAAATAGTAAGAAATACCGGCAGCATTCCGGGGCACATCTCACATACGAATCTCTCTGTGAGCCCCGACGTGGTCTAACGTCCTGCCGGAGAGCTTACGTCGTGAACCAGTGTCCGAGCAGCATCTGTTGAAAAACAAGAGTGTGGAAGAAGACCCAGCTCCTAAACCCTAAACCCTGAACCCTAAACCCCCAAACCCTAAACCCTAAACCCCAAACCCTAGCATCATTCACCACCGTCAGGAGCGCCCTCACACAGCGTCATGTCTTCAGCGAGGCCTGCGGGCGACCTAAGGCACTAAAGGAGAGACCCTTATAAAGGGTTACTTATAAAGGGGTTTAGGGTTTAGGGTTTAGGGTTTAGGGTTTAGAGTTTATCCTAGCAGTGGAGTAGGTAACCTTTAACCTTTTTGGGGTAGGATACTCCCCCTGACAATCCCAAAGTTCAACCTCCAATTCCCCCAGGTTACTGGACAACTAAGTTATTTGCGGGCTAGTCGGACTGTGTAAGGTATACAAAGGAACCCTAAACCCTAAACCCTAAACCCTAAACCCTAAACCCTAAACCCTAAACCCTAAACCCTAAATATAGGGGAATAGGATTAAGGGCCCCTTCTAGCGGTCCCTCCTTGCCTTTGGGTCGGTCCAAGCCTGGGAATCTTTAGGGTTGGGGGTTTAGGGTTTAGGGTTTAGGGTTTAGGGTTTAGGGTTTAGGGTCTAGGGTTTAGGGTCTAGGGTTAAGGCACCCAAAGCCATACCTCGCTCGACGCCCTGTTTAAGCTTCAAACCCAGACCAACAGCCAACCCTTCGGGCAAAAACGTGAACCCTAAACCATAAAACCCGGGTTTAGGGCTTAGGGTTTAGGGTTTAGGGCTTAGGGTTTAGGGTTTAGAGTTTAGGGTTTAGGGTTTAGGGTTTTAGGGTTTTAGGGTTCCGAGTTTTAGGGTAGGAAAGAGGGGTGCCCTCTCTAAGGCCGGGCCGAGCCTTTCAGGGAAGTACTTACTACAGGGAAGTCGGAAAACATCGCGTTCAATTCATGGCCGGGAACCCTTAACTAAGGGGTATGTTATATGGGATTCCACTTCTGAAGGCCCCTGTGTTATTCAGGGAGCCCCAAATATAAGTATACTAAACCCTAAACCCTAAACCCTAAACCCTAAACCCTAAACCCTAAGACTATGATTGCTCCCAAAAACTTGCCAAAAACCCGCACTCGAGTTGTTAAGGCCGCTGAGTTACACAACCACCACGTGCTCTTGAGGCTCACAGACCGAAGGCCAAGCCTTGTTGGGTAAGGATCTACCTTCTTAGGGCTTAGGGCTTAGGGCTTAGGTGCTTAGGGATTGGGGTGTTTCGGTATATGGGGT